ATATATAATTTTTTTTTTCTTATACCTTGGGCAGAAATTTTCAAATGAGGGATATTGTGACGTGAATGTTCCCGGAAGAAAACAGTGCTTACTGATGTAGAGAATAACTCCCTTTTGGAACTTTGGAACTTTGGAACTTTGCAGATCTTTTTCATGCACAAACAGCAACATTACAACATACTAAAGGAAGTTGAAAAGAGCATAATAGGACCCCTTTAAAATGAAGTCTTGTATGGTGTTCAGGTGTGTGCCAAAGTTCGTAAAACAGCATTCACATCATTCAAACTAAGTAAGATGGCCTGAGCGCACACCAAAAGTGCTAGTGTGAAAGCACCCTTATGGGCTTTGGCATTTCTTTTTTCACTGAAGTCAGTTGACATCAATTGGAATTGTACAACATCATAAAATCAACGCAAATTCTTTTTTGTTTTTCAACAGGCAAAAGTTGGAGAGCAAGCCAACCTCTCCAGTTTGGTAAGCCTGATTCTTTCAGTGGCGGACAGCAATAAAGACGGCCACATCTCTCTCCCAGAAGCCAAGTCCGCATGGGCTTTGCTGCAACTCAACGAGGTTCTGCTAGCAGTGGTGCTCCAGGACCGAGAGCACACACCTAGATTGTTGGGCTTCTGTGGGGACCTGTACGTAGTGGAACGGGTGCCTCACACTCCTCTGTACGGGCTCAGCCTGCCATGGCCCATGGAACTTTGGATTCCTACGGGAATGCGGCGAAACATGGACCAGTGGTTCACTCCTTCCTGGCCCCGCAAGGCTAAAATTTTTATCGGCTTGCTGGAGCTTATAGAAGACATTTTCCACGGTACCTTTGGGAGCTTCTTAATGTGCGACATGAGAGCCAGTACTTTTGGTTACACCGATCGCCATGACCTCAGGCTGGTGGACGGGCGGCGTGTAGTAGCTGAGGAGGCCTTCAAACAGGCCATGATCCTTCAACGCTGTGAGGATGATGAGGACTGCGTCTACGGTGTAGACTGTAGGACTTCGTGCGACCGCGCAGAACACCGCTGCATGGCCAAGGTGGCTCAACCCAACCTGGCCAGGGCTTGCGGAGCACTGAAGGATTACCTCCTACGAGGAGCTCCGGTCCATCTACAGGAAGAGCTGGAGAAGCAGCTGTACGCCTGCATGGCTCTCAAAGGTTCAGCTGAGCAGATGGAAATGGAGCACTCGCTCATTCTCAACAACCTCAAGACACTGCTATGGAAACAGATCTCACACACCAATGACTCCTGAAGAGAAATTAAGATGCACTAGTGACAACATTCAGATTCTTGAATGTCTTCTGAAGCACTTCAGGCCACTGTGAATCTGGCTGGAGATTACAATGCTGGTAGCAAAGTGGCTGGAAAATAGGCTGATGGCAATATTCATTGCTACTTTGATACTTAAGTTATTTTTCACGACGAAGGTAGAATTAAAACCATGAGGAATTATTGCTCAGGCTCAATTTAAGAACTTAAGGAGTAACGTTCACTTCTTAGTTTCGTGTCTTCGTGCTTTGTTGTCACACAATTGAACAGTGATCATGTTTATTTTACACTTCCTTCAGAGTTCATGAAGGAGCAAATGACACTAACTTTGCATCCATTGTTGGATGTTAACATAGAAAGCACTCGCCACAGACTGTGGTTGTGTAAGTCTCCTATTGTAATGTTTGTTACATGAGCACAGCAAAAAGAGCCATAAAAGAGCCATTTTGAAATGGGCACATTAATCCAATGCCTTGATATGCATGTTGCCAGTGCGTGCGTTTTTTTTAGTTCGATGCTTGTGGGTGAAAACGCCTCATTCTTTGTACTTGGGCAATTCTTGGAAATGGTCAGACTGTCTATGATCTGAAAGTAACAGATTGCAATAAGGTTAAATTTGATATAGTACTTAAAACAAGGTTATAAAACAATACTTTTAAAGCATTAGTCTATGTTAATGTTAATTTATATATGTACAAATACATTTACACCATCTCAATTTGTATAATTTAACGTATTACAAACATGAATTACCTTGGAATAATATTTTGAAATGAACATTTTAACTTAATAAATGCTGTGAACTGCTAATTAGTTTGTGATACCTAATCCTGTTTTAAAGGGTTAACGCAGCTCACACTACACAACTTTTGCCTGGATTTTCAAGGTCTGTGACAAAACCCCTGGATTGCAGCCAGATCAGTGCTCGTTGTGGTTGCTGATGGTGTGCTTCTGTGCGATGCAATGACAAGGTGGAACTAATCCAGCCAACAACAGTCCAGATGGTATAAATGGAAAAATCTTGTAATCACTTGCATGCAATTGTGAGAAAATGTTGACCAAATGTCTTGTAGTTTGTGAACCTCGTCAACATTGTATTGCGTAGCATGCGTGCTGATATGACAAGATGACAAGAAACCTCGTTGTGTAGTGTAAACACCACAGCAGTTCAGGTAGTCTTACAGTTCTGTAGTGTGAGTTTGCCCTTGTTGATCTGAATGTTTACAAGAGCGAGTCGTGTAAATGATGCTGGGAGGCCCTTCTCAACCATGATAGTTCAAAACATTGATCTATTTTTTTTTTTGGTTTGTTGGTTTCCTAATTTGTACTTCTAAGGCATGCTTGTGAAAACCATCTTGATATGGTAAAAATTAAATTTTAATCTAAAAACAATATGAAATGTTTATCACAGTCATTATTCTTGATGTACTTACGAAGAGATTGCTTCATGTTTTTATGGACCATTTTTCAGTGGGATGTTTCAGATTCTGTCATCAGACTTCTTCAGTTTTGTGTATTCATAAATCACACTGCTGCTGATTAAGAGTTAAACTGAGATTTTTATAAGATTTGATTGCATGACTTTGCACATTAAAAGTGTTGCTAAATAATATCCCAAATCCATCTTCATTGTCAAATCAACATTTTCTCATCTTCTACAATACCAAAGACCACAAACGCACTGTATTCTTTCCAAATGATTTATTTGGATAAGGTACACACTTTCTTTGGAGCAGTTGACACTTCATCTCTTTAGTCATCTGCAGCAGCGTCCTGAGCCCTGAGGAAGCTGGCCTTTTTCTGGGCCACACGGTCCTTCCTCTGGGCCAGAGTCAGCTTGGCACGGTTCCACCTATCAACACAATATTCATCAGTAATGAAAAAAGAAACACATTGTATGGTCAGAATAGTGTAAAAAAAAAAATTTTAAAACCCCCCTGAAAATATAAACATCTGACATGCAACTGTTGTAAGTAGCAGCTACAGCATATTTGCATCATCTTAAGCATCACCCGTGAGACCTTATGGGAACACTCAAGACTAAAACCTTTATCTAATGGCGCTTTTCCACGGCATGGTACGGCACGGTGCGGTTCACTTTTGGGGGGTTTTCCACTTGGTACAGTACCTGGTACTTTTTAGTACCATCTCGATTGAAGTTCCAAGTGAACCGTACCGTTACCAAAACGTGACGTGTAAACTCTGCTGATCACGGATTGGCCGGAGAGAATCGTCATTACCTGCATCACTGAACTTGCGACACAAACACAACAGAACCGCTAGATTTAAATCAGCACAGCCAGCGAAGGATCGAAAGTAATAATCCCGCCCACTCTAAAGCGGTACTGAACTGCAGTGGAAACGCAAACCGAGCCGTGTCGTGCCATACTGAGCCCTGTCGAGTCGTACCACGCAGTGGAAAAGCGCCATTAGTCAACACCACTATTTGATTTAACAGCAGCATGTCCAACAGTAAAGAACATTTATACAGTTTTGCCATCAAAACTACAACACGCCAACACTGTCAAGTTTCATGGCAATAATCAATTCCATGACTGTCAGTAGGCAGAGCAGTTTTAAAGGGATACTCCACACCAAAATGAAAATTTTGTCATTAATCACTTACCCCCATGTCGTTCCAAACCCGTAAAAGCTTTGTTCGTCTTCGGAACACGATTTAAGATATTTTGGACTAAAACCGGGAGGCTTGTGACTGTCCGATTGACTGCCAAATAAATTACACTGTCAAGGTCCAGAAAAGTATGAAAGACATCGTCAGAATAGTCCATCTGCCATCAGTGGTTCAACCGTAACGTTATGAAGCGACAAAAATACTGTTTGTACGCAAAGAAAACAAAAATAACGACTTTATTCAACAATTCGTCTCCTCTGTGTCTCTCCGCATCACTGTACCACCATTTTGGAGAATAACCACTGAATGCAAGCAGCATACGCTATTCTGTGTAAGCTGCGCAGTCAATGGGACAGTCACAAGCCTCCCAGTTTTCAACCAAAATATCTTAAATTGTGTTCCGAAGACGAACGAAGCTTTTAGGGGTTTGGAACGACATGGGGGTAAGTGATTAATGACAACATTTCATTTTTGGGGTGGAGTATCCCTTTAAGAAAAAAATCTGAAGAAATGATAAAAGCCTGAAAATACACCTCTTCTTCTTGATTTCTCTCTTGGGCTTCTTCTCATGAACTGGGTTCTCACGGATGGAAGCATGGGCCTTTTTGTACATCTCTTCAACCTGCAGTAACCAGATAATCTTATAATAGTAAGGTGAAGGTAAAGCACAAGATTTACAATAAATTTGTAAAAATATATTTTCAAATATTATGCTGTATACATCTGTTAATCTGCAACACAAATAACTGACATTTAGTCACCAGCATCATGCCACAAATAATGTGCATCTATAGATGATACAGTATTTGATGGACATCATGGCACTTTCTTGTTTCACATCTGTATTACAAAAAGCAAACAAATGTTGCCAGTAAAGTGATCCGGCAAAGTGTTTCTTACAGAGTCGGGTGTGATGCCGTTCTTGATGAAGCGGGAGAACTGCTTCTTGTACTGGTCCTCGTCCTCCTCCATCAGATAGCTCATGTACTCTGACACATTCTGGCCTATGATGTGCTTCCTGTGCACCTCCGCGTTGAACTCCTTACTTTCATTGTCGTAGCCTGGGAACCGTTTAGTGCTGAGAAAAAAGCTGTATTGTCAATATTCCCATAAGGATGAAAAATGAGACATAAAACCTCTGAAAAACCTCAAAAAGCTAAAATAAGTAAGCTTGCCTGCACAACATGCCTCAATTAGAAAAAAAAAACATTAAGATTATTTAGATGTCAATCTGAGTAGGTAGTAGGGCAGTGTGATTGATCAAATTATAGTTTTAATTTCTATTGTTATGTTTAAAACACAACAATCAAGATCAACAATTATTGTGCCACATTCCATTAATTGATTTCACCCATCATTAAAAGCCCAAAGCTAACGTCCAAATCTTCCAAACGTGCCAGTCATAATATGCAGTCTCCTGCGGGACATGTTTGATATTAAAAAGAGTTATAAAAAGTACATTTAGCCACAAAAGAGAACGTGCGCTGTTCCCCAGACAGGACAGGTGAAGCATGAGTGCTTCTGAAGGGGTATTTCTGTATTTGTGAAACTGTAATAAGACTACAGAATCAAGAAATTACTATATAAAGCATAAATTATAATTTAACCAAATAATTATTTTTAATTTAGTAAAAATGTAAATTAAATATCAATTTCACTGCAGGGATTGTTATGCATGCTATTTACCATCCTCAAATTAAAGTGTGATGTCCAAAATCCTTATTGGCCACTACTACAAAGTTGAGTTCAATTTAATGCAAATCCACAGACACATGCAGCCACTACCAATGGTAGTGCAGACAGTGAATCTGATATACATTTAATTCAAATAAAAGTCCATTTACTTCCTCTTCCTAATATAACTTCACCGTATGGTGCGTTCAAGTCATGTCGGATAGATTGTATTTACGATTTGAACGCACATGAACGCCACCACAAAGTCGTTATTACGAGTGGGAAACTCAAAATTTTCTTTAAGCCCTGAGTTTCCGAGTTGGGGGCGTGTCAATGAGAAACATGGCAGAATCGATGGATGCAACGTCTGTAGTTGACGGTAAATGTTTGTTTAAATTGATAGTTTAGTTGTCCTATAAACTTAAATTGGTCATGTTCTTGTTACGCAGCTAGTTAATGAAATCCAAGTAAAAAAATGCTATCATTTTTGCACATATAGGTGAAAAATCTTTTGATTTGTCATGTTGCATGTTTTAAAAATATTAAAAACGCAAAACACACCTGATGCGAATTCTTTGCTCTTCATTTTCTATAAGCAGAGTTAACAGACCCTGTTGTATTTTCTTGTAATTTATTAAAAGAAGGTACACCGCCATCTTGTGCCGACTAAACTGACTTGACTGACGTCGTAATTACGACTTGTCAACTCGTAAGTACGAACGTCCCAGAAGGACTTGAACGCAGCATCAGACTGTGTCAGAAGGATTTAAGTAAATTTTTTTTGTGGTATTTTAGAGTTCATTAGTGACTTCAGGTCATCTGTACAGACAATATTTTTGTGAAGAATATTTAATGTTTCTATTAAAGATTTTTTTAAAGCACCCAAAATTGCAGAATCAAAGTCCACAATCTAAGCTTTGCAAACTGGGAAAATAAACTGCATGTACGAACCTGTGAGGAATGGACAGTCCTCCATCAACTGCTCCTTTGAGAGCTCCAAACACCTTATTCCCTGTGGTGGTTCTGGCGAGTCCAGCATCCAGGTAGCATGTAAACGCCCCTGGCTGGCCATCAATGCTTTCCACATTAAATTCATCGCCAGTCACCTCAACCTGGCCTTCGTAGACCTTATCCAGACCAAACTTATTCAGCAGCTGTAAGCAGAAAGCAAGTCTGAATATGATCATACTTTGAGATGTGAAGAGTACCAGACCATTCATAACTGATGAGGACATTTACCCTGCGTGCACACAGTAAACCGGTGCAGTAGGCAGCAGCGTAGTTCGTCAGTCCAACAGCAATGCCATACTTTGGCAACTCGTGAGAGTAAGCAGCGCAGACGATCGCGTCGCCTTCAATTTTGGCATATGCGATCTGAGAAAGACGCAAAATCGTCCTGATACATTCAGCAACACAATGTTAATTAATAACATTTCAGTACTGCTGGCAAAGATGACATGGTGGCAATTGTACCTGGCAAACAATATCCCTGTTGGAGAGTCGAACAATCATCCTGTACTTCGGTGTGTTGTACTTGTTCTTGTCTTGAATGACAAGGCGCTTGCGGGCAAAGTAGTCAGTTTTTCCCTCTGAAATGGTCAATAATGTTAGTCAACTGTTGAAAAACCATTCGAAGCTGGCTTGCTGGTCTTAAGAGGGGTTTTATTAACTGGCCAGCTAAAACCCAGAATGGTCAGGCGGTCAGACCAGCATAGATTGTTGTGAAAAGTTTTTACATCAGTAATACATTCAGGTCATTTCATTGTGACAAATGAAAACATCCTTCAGTTAAGACAAAGTTAAGAAAACACCTTAACATACCTCTCCTCCTCCTGAACTTGACCTGGTATCTCCTGAAATACGCCTTGTTCTTAACCACCTTAACGAAGCCCTGCCAAAAAAAATAACTCAATTGTAAAACTGTTGACAAGCAGTACTGTCAAAAAGAACATAATCTGAAGCAATCTGACTAATGACACTCTTGGACACCTCTGGTCATAATAAAAAGATGCAATGCGCTGCGTGACAATAAACATGAAACACAAAACTGAATAGAGGAATAAACATCTAACCAGGCCAAACAAAACCCACTCCAGAGGGAGAAATGTTTATTTTATGCGCTTCAGTGTCAATAATATCATTATTTGAGTATTTAGAGAGAAATGTGCCAATGACGTTCACACAGCGATTGGTCTGATCGATTTATAATCTATAACCATCCCGTCGCTTCAAGTGTTCATCTTTAATGGAAATCGAGCTGAAACGGCGGGAGAGGGAACGTAATGAGTAGATCATCGTATTTTGGTGATTTACTGACCATTTTGTGATCGTTTGTTCTCCTTTAGGTTGGGAGACAGAAGTCTTCAGACTCCGATACTGCTCCCGCTGCACTGTGAAAAGGAAGCTCATGCTGCGCTGCGACCGAAAAATCAAAGCACTCGGAGGCAAAAGTGTGGGCGCCTCTAGCGTCCTGGAGGATAAACGGCAGGCTATTGTAATCTAATGCATGCAAACTTCAACATTTCATTCAACTGAATAGATAGATAGATAGATAGATAGATAGATAGATAGATAGATAGATAGATAGATAGATAGATAGATAGATAGATAGATAGATAGATGGATGGATGGATGGATGGATGGATGGATGGATAGATAGATTTCCAACTTCAAGTTCATTATTACAAATGTATAATTATTTATTTACTTTAATACACGACATGCAAGTTTCAATAGAAATTACATTTAAGTATATTTTGGTTAACCATAAATTTCAGTACATTTAACAGTACGCTTGAACCATATTTCAACACTATAAGTAATTATGAAATTACACGTAACGATGAAATCAGGTCAGCAAGTTCAGCTAATTGCATTTTATATCATGTATTTTCATTTAACTGCAATTAACAATTAACATTACATTTATTTCACACTTATATTTCCATAATACATAGGCTATTTTTAAAAGTATGCTAAAGTGTACTACGGTTTTCACAAGATTTAGTTTTTTAACGTGTCTTTGAAATGTACAGGATACCGTAGTGAAATGCACTTATTCTTGTTAAGTCTTCACAAGTTGCAATTAACAATATAATCAACAATATACAATAACACAGTACACACAAATAATAATATGAAGGGCTAAATGCAGACTAAATAGACAACAAAACAAATGAGCACTCATTAGTTAACACTTGTTTAGAATTTTAAAGTAAATGTCACAGTTTGTAAAGTGTTTCGATGAGTGGTGTGAATAAATGTGGTGTGAAAATGTTCATATAAGGTTGTAAACAATCCATGACTACAGTGTGAACTTCCTTAAAAAAGGGTGGTGCAAAAAAGTAGATGCAACTCAACCTAATGTTGACACAGAGTCCTCTTGACCCTAAAACTTCCTTTCTGCATATAGGGTAGCTTCTCTGTCAAAGCTCTCTCTCACACAGCACTTGATGAGATTAACAATGCAGCAGACTCTCTTGGCAGGCAGAGTCCCCAAGGTAAACGTTATCTCGGGGCCCATATTTGTCAGCTAAAAATTAAAAGAAGTTGTAAGAGGAAGTTGTTCACTCAGTCAGGTTACTTTAAAAACAAGCTCCTGAGTCACTGACAGAGCTGTTATTTTGAGGAACTTTGACCAGCGTGTGAGACTCTGCTATAAAGCGACATGTGATTATTTTGTTGTTTTGTCGTTTTTTCCTCTGCAGTATGGAAGAACCCGGTGTGACACCTTCTGTCACTGGAACAAGTTTGACAGAGGAAAGATTTTGTGGAGACATTCATACCCCCAAATGCCAAGAATCTTGCACTCTGGTAAGAAATCTCAGTTTTCACTATTATGAGGCCAATGATCCTGATATAAATGTCATAATATATGATATACAGTATAATGTAGTTGTGATACATGTGTATGAAAAAAGCAATGCACTGATATGTTTATATTCCATCATCTTCACATATACATAGATACTCAAATACATATATATATATATATATATATATATATATATATATACAGTATATATCCATAAGTACTTTTTTTTGTATTTTGTGTTTCTGTCATTTAATGATGTTTTAGCTCATTGGAGAGAGACACTCAGTTTCTAAGGCATTACATATGGACTCTTTGACTGTACCATCTCTGTCTCCCTCAACGGGATCTCAGCTCAGTGTGGATGAGATGAAGTTACTCGCTAAACTAGAGGAACAGAACAGGTAACTTCTTCACACCCATACCATGCTGTTTTCTATAAAAAACAACAACTTTAACTAAAAAGTTACACATTACGTTAGTGAGACATCTCTTTTTCCACACTGTGTGCCCAACTTGTTTTCATTTTCAACAAAACTTCATTCTGTTTTTTAAGCTTGTTTCCTCATGAGGACCTAAAAAAATATCCCCAAATTTACAGGTATTACTATACTTGTGGGGACATTTGGTCCCCATAACGTAGGGAATACCAGTACACACACACACACACACACACATTTGTTTCTGTGAATTGTGGGGACTCTCCATAGACTTCTATTACTTTATACTGACCAAACGATATTTTCAATCTCCTAACCCTAAACCTACCCCTTACAGAAAACCTGTTTGCATTGTTACACTTTCAGATAAACATCGTTTACTATTTTTAATAATTTTTTTCCCTCATGGGGACCGCAGGCCGGTCCCCACAATGTCAAAAATTTCAGGTTTTACTATCCTTGTGGGGACATTTGGTCCCCACAATGTACACTGCAAAAAATGGCTTATCTTACTTAGTATTTATGTCTTGTTTCTAGTCAAAATATCTAAAAATTCTTAAATCAAGATACTTTTACTATTTTGCTTTAATTACTTCCTCATTTCAGCGTAGCATGGAGGTGATAAGTTTGTGGCACTGCTGAGGTGGTATGGAAGCCCCGGTTTCTTTGACACTGGCCTTCAGATCATCTGCCTTTTTTGGTCTCTTGTTTCTCATTTTCCTCTTGACAATAACCCATAGATTCTCTATGGGGTTCAGGTCTGGTGAGTTTGCTGGCCAGTCAAGCACACGAACACCATGATCATTTAACCAACGTTTGGTGCTTTTGGCAGTGTCTGTGGCTCCTTGTGAAGGGTGTCAATGATTGTCTTCTGGACAACTGTCTGATCAGCAGTCTTCCCCATGATTGTGTAGCTTAGTGAACCAAACTGAGAGACCATTTTGAAGGCTCAGGAAACCTTTGCAGGTGTTTTGAGTTGATTAGCTGATTGGCATGTCACCATATTCTAATTTGTTGAGATAGTGAATTGGTGGGTTTTTGTTAAATGTGAGCCAAAATCATCACAATTAAAAGAACCAAAGACTTAAACTACTTCAGTCTGTGTGCATTGGATTTATTTAATACACAAGTTTCACAATTTGAGTTGAATTACTGAAATAAATTAACTTTTCCACGACATTCTAATTTATTGAGATGCACCTGTAGACAAGAATAAGATAAGCCATTTTTTGCAGTGAAGCATAAACAAGTACACACACATACACACACACACACACACATTCATGTACTGTATATCAAAGATTTAAAAAGAGTGCTTACTAACAGTATGCTATTTATTTGTTTATTTTTTAATGGCATTCAACATGAAACATTATTAGATGCATTTCAAATGCTGATCATGTTGAAACAGAACTTATCAAAAGTAGATTTGTTGTTTTTAATGACATCAAGCATCAAACAAACTTTCTTTCAAAATAATTTTAAAGACTGCATGCATATATCATTCATGTTGATCATACATCTCAAAATATACTTATCAAAAGTATGCTATTTATTTGTTTGTTTATTTATTTTATTGACATTTAGCATTAAACCAACATTATCATATGTATTGCAAATAATTTATGTATATTTAAAATATTCATGTTTATCATACATTTCAAAATAGTACTTATTAAAATTATGCTATTTATTTGTTTGTTTAATTTATTTTCATATACATTCAGAATTAACATTATTAGATGTATTTCAAATACTGTATGTATATATTACTACATTTTTTAAATATACAATTGTTTACACAGCTTAAATACTGACTTCTTCTGGATTATTGTAAAGAATTAAGGTTTTTATTAATTAATAAAATGATTTTGAATGATTCGTTGAATGATTAAGTCATTCATCCCTTATAATTAATCCCTCAGTTCTGTTTGGTATATGAACTTGAGAAGTACACATAAGATCTACACTCCTAAACAGGCTATTTTTCTCAACAGGCTGCTTGAGACTGACAGGAAGTCTCTGTACCCTCTGAATGGGGTCCTGCAAAGTCCCACCTCACCCAAAACCTTCTCTTTTGATGATGACATATGGGGCAATGTCATTAAAGAATGGGACGACTGGCGCAAGAGAAAAGTGGGACAGATCAAGGTAACCAACTCATAGATCCACCAGTTTCATGTCATGATTTCAGTCTCGTCACGCCGTACCATTCTTCCCTCAGGTGCTGATCAGGAGGGGTGTCCCTGCTCACCTGCGGCCCGCTGTGTGGCAGCTGTTGTGTGACGCTCAGAATGTGGCCGTGCGACAGAAGTACTCAGATCTGCTGAAGAGCTCGTCTCCCTCTGAGACGCTGATACTCAGAGACCTGACACGTATCCTCCCTCAACACCAGCTCTTTCACAACAAGGCCGCTACCTGCCAGAAACCACTGTTTAATGTGCTGAAGGTTAGACAACCGAGAAAATCTATACCTGTGATCATACAGAAAAAAGTGTAGGAATTATGCATTTACATAACACAATGTGGCTTTAATTACAGGCTTACTCAATCTTAGACCGAGAGATTGGCTATTGTCAGGGAAGTGTGTTTATTGTAGGTCTATTGCTCACACAGGTAATGAATTGCTTTTTTAATTTAAATTGTACTTACAAATTGTAGCTAGTACCAGTCAATGAACTGAGATGATTACCTTTTAGATGGCTGAAGAGGAGGCCTTCTACATTTTTGTGAGGCTAATGAAGGACTTCAGAATGAGGGATCTGTATAGATCCAATATGGTTGAACTCGGCTGCTGCATTCACCAGTTTGACGCTATGATTAAGGTAAACACTTATAATTCTACACTATTTAAAAGCACATGGATTATTTGTAAAATGTCCTTTCCAAAAACATTGAGCTGAGTAAGCCACATAAAGCATGTTACAAACGATCTGCTGAAGTATCTTTCCATTTCCTGATAAATGTCAGATTTCTAAAAACTGCACATTTGACAAGAACTTCTTGTAGATGTCCAGATTTGGTGTTTTGTAAGTAGGGAATAGTGGGGTTAAGAAATGCGATGCGAAGTGTCCTCTAAGCAATGCGAAATTAGAATACATTTGTCTATAAGATATCTTAGTATATTTTATATGTAATATAAAATATATTTAAAAATATATATATTTT